TGTGTGTGTGTGTGTGTGTGTGTGTGTGTGTGTGTGTGTGTGTGTGTCAGGAACCGAGCCAGGGGTTGGCGTTATCCGCTCAGCTAAGATGCGAGAAAAAAAGCGAGAGGCCACATTTTGGGCTTTTTTATTTTTTTGCTTAGAGAACAGACCATGGTTTCCTGGAACAATGCAGCTGATCTGAGTCTCTCCAAGGAAAATAAGGCTCTGACATCATGGGTTCTTAAAGCGCACAGCTGAGCCAACACTCTCCTACTATAATCAAGTCTCAGTGAATTTCCACTGAAACTGAGGAAAAGGGAGAATCTCCAAATCCTAAGCATTGGATGCTGTTTTTTTTTTTTCTTCTTCGGAACACTTTCATCTAACTGYTAATGTTCTGGTAGCACCGTGCACTTGCTTCACATCTGGCCTAGTTTCATGATAAATTCTAACACGTAGATGTAAATTGGTCACAATCAACTCATTACTTTCCATGACAGGATTGTGGAAAAGGGGGACCTGAGAATTTGTTGGGGTGGAGGATTAGAGTCAATAAAATGCTGAGCTGATAAGCGCAAAAGCCCAAACTCTGCGAAGTTAAAAAGCTGTGTGCGCCACTGGAAAAGAGGCGAATGGCTTAAAACCAATGAGGCTTTACAAGCAGCAGAACAAGTAGTAAAACTGGCAAGTAGTAAAGCAGACCACAAGGTCATTCAAAAGACAATTGTGTGCTTAAGATGAGGAGTTGAAGAGTGTGGCGAGATTGAGTTTCAGAGCTCAGGCCAGAGTCCGTGTCCTCAGATGCACTGGATCTCAGAGCAACGGGACGGGAATGTGTTCTTTCTAGATCCTTTCTGGTTTTGAGGTTATTGAAACGTTCTCTGTGGTGCACTTCTCTGGATTCTCTTTTATGACATGGGATTATAAGGTATTTTTTGTTCTGCAACATGTTTGCTCTGTATTTTACTGTACATCCATATTCATGCTAATTACTGGCTTTCAGTAATTGTTAGGGTTTGGTAACTTGCCACTGCCTGCTCCCCTCTGCACGCAATCTTAGATTTATTTGAACTCCAAATCTTGCAAGCTTGCATTCTGCAATTGGATCATTAGGGTAAGATAATTGATTCTGTATTAGCCACAAAGAGGGGATGAAATACCATCCAGGATGGCCTCGATGACCCAGACCTCGCCGACCTCCGTCCCGCTTCCATGTTTTATCTCTGCCGTCTGCTGGGCCRTCAGCCAGAGAGCTAATTTATCAGCCTTGCCCCGCGTGCGCATCCGTTCGCTAAGTGCTGACGCCGGCGTACCAAGCTGGACCTCGACTCTGTCACTGCGAGCATCTTCCAAAGAGCTGAACACGCAGCTCTGGCCTCAGGGAGAACCACACCCTGGTCTGTTTGCGTTGGCAGACTCCGCCACCTCGGAGGAAGTATCACGTTGTCTCTCGGTACAGCCAGTGCGGTCAGTTTCACGGTGCACAAAAAGCCTCTGCTTGAGTAACGGTTTTAACCAGAGCCAAAATATCTTGTTCCCTCTTAAAGGATTTAAGAGGGACAAACTTCTTCTTTGTAATTTTCTGCTGTTTATGTGTCAGAATCCACATGGTTCCTCATAAAATGGGTGAGGTTGTGTAACAAGGTTAGAGTTTATATGAGTTTTCTGAATAAAAAAGAACTCTTCAGACATTTCTGTGATGTTGACAAGTGGTTTATTTCAGCAGGAATGGTAAACAGTTTCTTTTTTCTTGAAGAAGGCAATCAAGCACCATAAATAAAAGTGCCGTAATCAAACAGTTTCTTGGACAGTGAGCATAAGGAAAATGTATTTACTCATTTAACACTTCAGGGAGTCATGAATGACTCATGCACTCTCATATTCTGTGCGTTATTGGTTTATTTTTCTCATACAGCCGACAAACTGACATGTTTGAATGATTTATAAGCAGATGATCTGAAGCTGTCCCTTTGGTTTTTCTGCTTCGCTTCGTAGGGTATACCATATAAACTGAGGGTCATCTGTCTGGTCCATTTTCTACAACACAAGCACGTTTTCAGGAACCAGAAGCAGTTTGAAACAGTATTGAAGATGCAGTGCAGTTGAGACAAGAATGTCAACATGTTGTTTAATGGTTTGGGTTTGTTTAACTACAATGATGGGTTTTCATTTAAAAAAATCTTTGGTTTGTACTCTATTATTCACGTTAATCAGCAAAGTTCATGAGCGAGGACCATACCATGAAAGGTAGACCAATGTTTATTGCATCAATCAATGGTTGCTTTGAGAGCAGATTTGTTGTCGCTCCAAAGCTTGTTTTAGAGCAATGTGACCCATACATCAAAATTTTACTTTGGCAAAAGCTGCTAGCAAGTTTTAGACAGATTAAATAAAAATAAAAAAAAACTAAGCTAATCCCCCAAAGCAAGACCGTGTAACTTTTGCAACATTCCAAATTCAGATTTTGTAAGCATGGACTTGTTTTTTTCCCTTTACTAGCCACTTTAGTTCCGTAAATTATGATGAAGTACTCTCAAAAGACAGCCTGTTCTGTTAGTGCTGATAGACAAAATATGTTCTCTAACCGTGAGATTAGATGTCATTTTGGGAATCAAATCTAACCATATTAGAAGTAAAAATGTACAACAAGTAAAAAAATAATAATTAAAAGTTAAAAGAATATATGGACAAAAACATCTCTGTCACTTTTGTACATTGACTTAATGAAAAAGTGTCTGATAGAGGAGCAAATAGTTGGTTTATGGCTGTGTCTCATACTTGTTTATGGCAAAGTGCAAAGACAGCCATTTTGATTTGTGAGGTCACAGTGAAAACTTCTAAATCGATAAGTCAAAACTCCTTTTTCAGGGATGGTATTTTGTAATTTTTGAACTTGGAAAGTGAAGTAAGAAAAGTAAATTTATGTTTTGCCTACATTTCGATCTCCCATCATTGCTAAAGGACTTTAATTTGTGGCATATTGTTGCATAATATAGAAACCTTCCTCTTTGAGCTACATAAATAATTTCAAGGCAAATTGCTGGAAAGTGTATTATTATTCTATTATTATAACAAACTGTTTTGTATCCCTTTCTGGTGGAGAAAACTAATCAGTTGTAGCTTCACAGTGACAGAAAACAATCTTCAAAATGCTCCGGATACATATATATTTTTCTTTCTACATTTATTTTTGCAGCCTTTCCACTCCCACTCTTCAATTTTGCTAATTTCTACAATATAATTGCAGTACTTGTTTATGTACTAGATTTAGAAAAGTTTTTTTTTAATTATTTGGACATGCATGTCCTCTGGCATCCACCAAGGGTCATTGCAGCATCCTTCAGTCCCCCTCTTCCCACGGCCTTGGGTGAATTCAGAGTCAACCTAATTAATGTAGAAAAGAAAATCTAAAAAGCAAACTCCTATCCCTTTACTAATTTGGAGAAATAATGTAGGATACAAAGTATTGTCGGGAGATACCAATAAGCATGGCTATGAGTAAATTCCAAGTGATCACTTCCTGAAGATGGTTTGCAAAAGCTGCATGGTCTCACTTTGAGTCATTTTAATATCCAATAATTTAGTTTTTACAGAGGCATATTTATATACACAGACCTCTGAACAAAAGCATGCCCTGACTGTTAATCTCCATACATACAGTACTTTTGTCTAGTTATTTGGCATAAGGGATCTACATTGAGAAAATAATTTAAGAACAGTAGAAAAAATAGCRTTTGCCTTCTTTGGGACCACAATACTCTTATTTTTATGCTCCATGCATTCACAGATTTCACACAGATACATTTACTCGCTTGCTTTACCTTACTGAAACTGTTTACAAACGAAATGACTTTTAAAATGGTGGCCACAAGGCTGTGCAATAGGGAAGACCTCCATGTAAGCCCTGCCATCTGTCTCACGTAGCCATCTCTAGCAAGTAAACTATAAAATAGCACCATTATACAGTGGATAGGATTCTTAATACAGTTTGTTAAATGAAACCATCATGTACAATGAATGATAGTAATGCATAGGTTAACATAATGGGAGTACAGGTTTATTATATAGAGAGAGAGGAGGCAGGCGCCAGACATGACTTGTTTTGGGCAAAAATCATGGAGGCTCGAACAAAGAGCAGTTTCCTGTCAGACATCATGCAAGCACTTCTCAGAAATGGTTTTTTGTGAATTTTGTGAAGGTGGTCTTGACCCTTGCTCACAATTGCATAATTTCTTTTTTTTCTTTTTTTTTTTTTTTTTTTACTGTGGGTGCTTTGTATGTGTATTTGTGTACTTTTGTGGGTGTTTTCGCTTTTCCAGGTGGACTTGCCTTTTTGGGTTGGAAATATTTACCAAAACTGTTTAATCTGCATGTCTCTGTGGCGGACTTTGAAACGGATGCTTGTGTTATTTGTTTCTCGCCATCATATCAAATTCTCGCTGACCCAAGCCAGAACCAATTTTGGAAAGTTTTCAGCCTCTCCTGAACAAAAAAATAAATAAAAAATAAAAAATCGATAATCTTCCACTTTTATGCAGCCATTATGACAGCATTTTGGTGTTAAAACTTYGGTTAACACACTTGGGAATTACTTATTCCATAATCCTGGTATGTATTATAGAATGCCGTATAAACCTTAGAGATCTGTGCTGAACTTAAAGCACAAATCTCCACTTAAGATGAAATGTTAGTCAATGGGTGACTGGACTGTTGACAATCTGATATGGCAATGGTAACGACRTGAAAAGGACACAGACAACAAATATTATGCTTGATTGTCACTATTTGATTACTCCATTCATTTGGTCCAAATGAACTTTGAATCTACTGAACGACCTATTTCTAAAAACTAAACAAGCAATGTACTGACAGGCCAAAAGAAACTTTAGTTTAAGTTCTAGTTTCTTGTCTGTATTAAATATAAACCCTGCAAGCCACAGTCTCATTTTGCAATACTTACTGTATTTGCCCCCTTTTCAAAGTCCTTTTTAGTTACGTTTTACATTTCATTCTAGACAGATTCTGAACTTTGCCTAAAAAGGATTAATATTGGTCTCAAACTCTTGTCGCTCCACTTGGTGGGGATTTGACTTAGACTGATGATGAAATTAGAAAACCACATGGACTTGGTCCCTAAAACAAACAAAAATATCCAAAGTACTGTTTGGTGCATAAATACAAACTCTGACGATAAAATATTCGATTTGAACGGGAGTAGTAACTGCTATATTTAAGAGTGACAAAGTGTCTGGTTTTACCAAAGGAGTGAAAGGATCCACTCAAAGTAAAAAGACTTCACTTCCACAAACTTCAAAGGACAAGATGGACGAACCACCGGCTGCTGCTCTCTGATTGACTGAAGCCCTGATTGGTTTCCCTGGAGCTGGAGATATTGCAGCTCTCACATCGAGAAGTAATAAGTTTTTGTTCATGTCTCAGCAGCTAAACTAGTCTTGAACATTAACCAAGAGCCCCTCCCAGATTGGTGCAGTGTACAAAATAATCACAATACCCCCCTCATCAAGCCTTTTAAACACCACTTGGTTCTAAAGTTGCAATTATTTTGAAGAGCTTTTCAGCCATTGTTTACATCCTTTTGTTTAGTTTTACAGTGAACCATTCCACAGGGGTACCAGGTAAGGCCACTCCCTTCTCTCTTCCCAAATTGCTGGGCTTTTGTCGAGTCGCTGCTTCCCTACATTCGGTAAGTTTTGCCCCCAGAGCTTCCTCGACTTGAGTTCTTCGGATGAACTTCCTGCGAGTAAAAAGAAACATACGTTTAGAGATAAAGCACAGCTAGAGAGCGGCAGCTGAGGATAAACATTTAGTAAAAAAGACCTTCTTTGAGATGGCAAATAAAATCAAAATAAACAAAAGGCACTTTCTTGAAAGAAATAGCAACCGAAATTGTATAGTTTTTTTTTCTTTAAACTTTTCACTTGTAGCTGTAGCTTGTTCCAGTTTTTGCTASCGTACTGTGTACATAATGTCTCAGATCAGAGATGTACTTTTCCCAACATAAAATAAGGACAATTTGATCTTCAGCTCCGTAAAAAGACATAAAAATCCAGACCAGTGACGAGAAAACAGTGTGTGCCTGTTATTTGGAGATTTTGCCAAGAGAGCTGAAGTGCTGCTTTGTCTACAACAAAATCCTCTTATTCTCTTCTGCTGCTGCTGTTTTTTGTTTTTACTTTGTTGAGACAAGGCTTAAAGCTCATTTCTCTTTTTAACCATGAAAATTTAAGAATAAAAAAACATGTTTTAATCCACTGCAGTCCCCTTTTTTCTCATCAGAAGACTTAAAAAACAAATACTGTATGTTTTGTGCATTAGGTCTATCTGTCCCATCCAAAGGATGCATGTTAACTAAATAAATTGCTTCACATCCATACCTTGAAGGATGAATGACTGTGTCCAGATGAAGGTCTCTGGAGAAGAAAAATAAAGCCACTTAAAATAAATATAACCCTCTTGCAATGCAATATACTAGTAAGATACTAATTGAAGCCTGAAAATGATGTTTAAGATATTTACTTAATGTGATGCAACTCTTTTTGTTTTTCTTGTTTGTCTTTGGTAAATTGGTACAACATAAAGACYGTAGTGTGTCCATGAAGTGTGCATGATTTGTGCTCACCTTTTTGATTTTTGTCTTGTCTTGTTGCTGTGCCACCCTGCGCTCTGTGCCTTTGTCCGCTTTCTGTCCCGGGTTACTAACCTTAGCAGTTCTTGGCATGTCTGTGTGGCGCTGTGCGCGCACAGAGCGAACCGCTTTGCTAGTCTTGGCGGGCGCGCAGTACATCTCCAGGCGCCGCAGCTCACAGCTTTGGAAGCAGCACTCGTCCACGATGCCCCGGGACCGCCTTGCACTGGGGCCATATCCTGGTTTATCTGTTTGGAAAACAAAACAAAGAAAAAAAAGGCAGGAAGGTTGAGATGGATAAAGAGATGGAAAAGGATGCTGGTCAGTACTGGTGTTTAACAGGGACCGAATCAGGTGTGTTTAATGTCAAGTGAATCTTGGGTTTCAAATATCAAATCATTATTTTGGGCCAGTCAGGGTTCAGGGACTGTCATAGCATCAAATCTGCTCTGAGGTCTGTAAAGACATCCTTCTGTCCTTATAGTGGTTCATCACACAGGTCTTCAAAATCACCTCTGAAATTCAGAGTTCAGGAGTTCCTCAAGGACCAATATTTGGGACAATATTATTTCCAGATTGCTCATGGTTTTCTTGAGCCATATCTTTTTCTAATAATAGCATAAAGACAGTTATAAAAGTGTTAATCATCCTGTCTGCAGCTGGGTCAGAACTCTGCTGTCAGATTTCTAAATATTACCTCAAAAAGAAATGGTAAATAGCTTGAACTTGTATAGCTTTTTATCAAGTCCGTATGGACTCCAAAGCCTTTTACACTTCAKTAATTCACCCATTCACATACTGATGATGGTAAGCTACATTGTAGCCACAGCTGCCCTGGGGCACACTGACAGAGACAGGGCTACCATGCACTGGTGCACCCTCTTACCACCACCATTTGGCAAGGTAGGAGAGGTGTCTTGCCCAAAGACACAACAGCTGAGATGAATGGAACGGGGGCTCGAACCAACAACCCGACTGTTATGGGATGACTCCCCTAGCCAAAGCTGCCCAGAAGAACAAGAAAGAGACAGAATCTCTCCCATTAAAAGGGTCAGGTCATGTTTTAGTAGGGTTATTTTTTTTTTTGGCACATGATTAAAACATTCTGCATTTTTATGTTGGGGTTGTTACACAAAACAACTTTTTACATTTTGGTGGTGATCTGCCACAAACAGAAACCAAAACTTAAAACATAGAACAGAGTCAGAGGCTGCTTTTTAAGGATGATGTCATACAGTAACAGCCAATCAGCATCCAGCAGATCTCTGTTCTACTAATCGCAGCTCAGAAGCTGCACGCTCTGATGTGCATAACCTCAGGTCTTGGCAGAAGTGGGTTATCGCCAAGTGCTTCTTGTTCACTTTGGATTCAATCCAACTCTTTGACGGAATGAAGCTGAAGCTTTAGCTCAGGATCTAAAAAAATAAGTTATAGTGCTATGGATAAATAACTATATACATATTAAATCAGGTTGATTGTAAAAGTTATCTAGTTGTAGTCTGCCATGACATATGATGCGAATATGACAAAAAAAAACTGACAAAAACATTATCCTTTTGGTTTCAGGTGATGCTGATTTAGCAAATATTTCRTTAACTTCTTCTTCATAATTATTTTTTTTCCCGTCTACAGTTCACATTGTGGTAAAAAAAAACCCCAGCTATTATAAGCGAAAACAATGTCCAGGTTACATTTTCCTGATATATAAAATCTTAATGACAGTAAATTATTCCATCTAAAATTTACAGTTTACATTACTGCACACTGTGGACTCACTTTGGCAGCAGTGTTTCGGTTAAAAAATGTTACAAAGAAGTCATCTAAATGTCCCGCTCAGTGGTTTTCTTTTATTGAAAGTCCTCGGAGCCCGATCCACCTGCAGAAACGTCCAGGCCTCGCTGCTCGTTCACATATTCATTTGTCAGAAACCCCCCCGAAGGCTCATTCAGAGAACACGCTGAAGAAACGTGGAAATGGCTGCAGTTAAAATTTACAAGGCTATTTCGAGGTGCCACACTGGGGTTTTGCTGTGACGTTAATGCTCCCTCCTTCTTTTTTAAGTCAAATATGGTGCTTTTCAGGTGGCTTTTAGCGGAGGCCAGGCTCTCTATTTACAATTCCCTGCACATTCTAAAACAGAGAGGAGATGGGGGCTTTTCCCTGTTACCAAATGAAATAATAATAATTTAATATGGCATTTACAAGAAGGAAATGCCTTTCCCTCTCAGAGTTAATAGCTCTTGGCTCAGACGCCTGCCAGTGCTGACAAAGTGCATTAACTCCTGCTCTGCATCCGCCTTTTTCTGACAATCTTGTTTTGGACTCGGAGTAGCTTTCATTCAGAAACAGAAGCATCTTTCTCCTTCAAAAAGAATGGAGGTGTGAACGAGTTAGAGTAGCAGCGAGGAGGCTTTTATGTTTCACATCACATCGCTGCATTATTTAGAAATCTAAGATTTGACCAGATTCACTAACTTCCCCTAATTTGTTTGGTTGATCTAAAAATCCGAATGTGTGGAACACTTGCCAGCTATTTTATGCTCTTCTAGGAAATTCTCCTCTCTACTTTGAGCTGTTTGAGCAAACAGATGGTGTGTGTCAATGGGAGCAACCTTGGCTGTTATGTTAAGACATTAAAAAACATAAAGTTAAGTCCAAGCTGGTGATTATATAAAAGGCTGTTAAAAGCCAAAGTGGGTCTGTGACTTTTTTTTTTTTCCTGGCCTCATTTCCAATCTCCCCCAAAACAACCTTTCACAAATTAACAACCGCTTTTGTTCCAAAAATAGTTTGCCACCCTGCTGCACAAACAGCTGGATGGAGGAGCAGAAATCAGCTGGTGCTGTTGTAACGTGGGTTAATCAGCTGGAGCAGTTCAGGGGAAAAGCAAATATAATCTGCTTTGAAAGGTTTGGTTTTAAAGGCTTTAATGCCTTTGATAATTGCAGTAATTCCTCATAAACAAGGAGTTGTTTTCTGTCTGTTGTTTAAATAAATGAGAATTACAGCATTAGACATGCAGCTCTTCCAACCAGCTAAAAGTTATTTTTAATCATTTTATTTTATTTAATTTGAAGGAGTTTTAATCACCATAAAAGGCAGGTGATCATGAAATTGTGTTTGTCAGTTGGCAAAATATTTTAGGAACAAGTGCAACGATTTTAAGGAAACTCAGAGTGATCATTGGATGTGCACTCGGTTCAAGATGTCCACCATAGCTAGCCAACTTTAGCAAACAAAAAAGGCTACAACTCAGTCCTTTTATTGAGCTACAATCTGGTATTAAATTAGCTAAGAGTCAACTCCAACACCGCTTTGTATTTGTTTTGGTGTTTGACATGGTCAGCTTGTAGTTTTACAGCTTTTTATGGTGGCTTAAACTTTGATGCCGTTAGCTCAGGCTGCCAATGTTCAGGCATTTTACAGCAGGACTTTTACAAGCTGCTTGAAGTACCTTTTCAGCTAAAGTGCCACAGAGTTTATGGCATGCATGAAGCGTTTCTGTTTTAGGACATGATGCACCTGCACCAAGTGTTAAAAATTGTCCATCTCCTTGTATATAAGGGCATTTGCCATGAAATGTCAGTGGATGGAGGAACCTAACGCACTCTGGTGGAGAAGAAGCTTAAGACTTAATTTCTGGAAATAAATACGCAACTAAGGTAAATGAGAAGCAGCGATAACAACCAAAACACCTTAAAGAACTGACAGAGAACAAAGGAAACAAGGTATCTGAACTGAGGGAGGATAACAACTGATGTGTATGATTATCCAAACAAGAGACAGGTGTGAAAAGCAGAGCTAAAGGCAAAACTATATGAAATAAACCAATGAGGACAATAAGATACTAAATCATAAAACATGATATAAACCATTAACCCAAAAGATGGTCAAAATCTGAACAAGAATGTGTATTTCCAAAACACTCTCTGACATTTTTACCTATTTAAAAATTGCTATTTTATTGCATAGCGCCGTCAACAGCTTAATTTGCTGGAACAGCCTTTAAAAACACTCTTTAAAGATTTTGTCATGGTCTTAGAGATCTTCTATACAATAATTATTTAATGAACATGGTTATTCCACTTAACTAGTTAATTAACAATAGTCCTCTTGTCCTGAACTCCTGTGTGCCTCAGGGCTGTGTCCTCAGTCCCATCGTGTTTACAATGTATGCTCATCATTTTTAAGTTATTCTTTTTCATGCATTAACTACAAGATAGACCATCCAGTGCAAAACTAATCTCTACTAAAGTCAGCCAAATAAAACATATTCACCAAAACGATCACAAAAAGATTGGCTAGTCTACTGAAAAGAACAATGAGATAAGATTGTAGTTCTTCATTGCTCTTCACATGCCTTTTTGTTGGGTAAAAGAAACTTTGTGTACATGTTGACAGACAAGCAGGATCTCCTTCCTAGTTTGAGATGTTCTAATGCTTTGGGCTTTTTTTTCCTTGGGTTATCAAAGGGAAAGGTATTGTACAAAAAAGTGTAGCAGCATAATAGTGATGCAAAAAATTACATTTTATATATATATATACAGTTTTGCTAAGTATTTCTAGTATTATTGTATAAGTATCTGGGAGGTTTTTTTTCACGAGTGGTAGGATGGAATGGGAAACTATTCAGAGTAATAAGGATGTTGTTTCAGTTGTCATAGAAGGAGCTGAATTGATAGGCAAAACTCTTGGTTTACTGGTCTGTCTATCACCCTCACCCATAGTTATGAGTTGTGGATCATAATGAAAGAGCCAAATGATCAGGATAAAAGCAGCTGAAACCGTATAATAACCGTACTTCTTAGTAATTGATACAATCAAAGGTGAGGTACTCGTTTAGTCCTAAAATGTCCCTCTTGTATCAGCTTCACCTGACCCCTGGTCCAAGTGATGAGGTTTCCTTTTCATGAAACACCTCTTTGCTGTGCCTTGCAGTAATTCATGTCCTGAGGAGGAAAACAACACTTTTCTTGTGGTGATGGAGAGGACTCAGGAGGCCGTTTTTCTTCACAAGTTCAGCTTTGTGTTTGAGCTCACAGAGAGGACAGGGGAGGGTCGGGGGTGTCCTGATCATCCTGTAATCCACATAATCCCCTGCTGCTGAGAGACAAGGCCTAGCTGTGCGTGTTTGACTGCAGGCTTGTGACGTACTATTTACTCATTCAACTTCAGTCCAGCTCACGTAACTCCGAGTGAAATGAACAAGGTTAAATACTAAAGAGGACGGGCAGACAGAGCAGACAGT